CTGCCAATAACCACACAGGAAGACATCCTGTATACACAGTGCATGTCTGTTAGAGCAGAAGTCTGCAGCAAGTGTTAGTGGGATTCAACTGAGGGCAGTTCTTGACCACATGCAGAAGGCAGGAAGCTGAGCAGGAGTGAGAGACTAATGAGTTGTGTGTATGGATGTGGGTGGAGGAGGAGGTGGTAGACACGATAAAACTGGAATAAGCTGAGAATATCATCAATTGTTACCAAGGAGTTCCATTTAGTCTCAGTAGCAACTAGCACATGTAATCACCCTTCCAAATCTGTGGGTTCTACATCCATAGATTCAACAGCCATAGATAAAATACACTAAAAATAAATCAAGTGTATCTATACTGAACATGTTCTGGTCATTATTTGCTATGCAACACAAGGTAACAACTATTTACACAGCATTTACATTTTATTAGATTAGTAATTTGGAGATTATTTAAGCATGTGGGACGGTGTGCACAAAAAAATACACAAGGCTTTAATGTTAGCAGAACAACACTGTATACTTACTTTTTCTTACCTGATGTTACAGACAGAGCAGAAATTGTTCCTGTATGTTCACAAACATACTGAATGGAGCACGGTCAGACAGCCAGGGTAAGAGTCAGCCAGAGGTACACAGGCCCTGGGCTCTGCTCTTTCTAGTGCACTGGTATAGCTATGAGACACATACGTGTCATGGGGAAGATGTTTCAGCGCAGAGGAAGGGCCCTGGAAAATAACCTTGCTCAGATATATTCTAAGACAAAAAGCCAGTAGACGAGTGGTTCTCAGTTCTGGCTTACTCGAGAAATGTTGGAAGAGAGTTTTAACTGCTTGCATTCATGGCCACCTCCAAAGATGTCCATTCCCGTAGTCTCTGAGACTGACATTTGAATTTCATTTTCTAATTAATCCTGGGGGTGAAACGAGGAACCACACTCATGCTTAGCATGAACTCTATTCATTCTCACCTCCAAGGGGATATTTTAAATAGTGTCTCAATTGCCTTCACAACAAGAATCCCAGGATATCACCCACCATGAAGAAGGTTCCTTCTGGGACTCTACCTGCTGGAAGGTCTTTTCATGTCCTCATCATCCCAGATCAAGAGAACCACCTCACTGTCATAACCCCTAACTTTGGCACCTTCAACATTAACATTCACAGGTTTCATGCATGCTTTGAAAGACCTGATAGCCTTCCTAATTCATGAGAAAGGGCAAGCTGCAGTTAGAGGGTGCACAATACAGAAAACACCCAGCTCAACACCAGCACATTGTCCTTGGGAATTCCACTGTCCCAGCTGCTTTGGCGAAATCCTACTGCCCAGATTATTCTCTGTCAGTAGTTAAAGCTCACATGCTTGTTCCGAGTGGATTACCTCAGAACTCCAAATTAAAATGCAGGATAGTTTAGAAAAGAGCCATTAAGCATAATCCCCGATCAGCAAGCATGGATCAGCAATGGATTACTCTACTATGAAAAAGCAAGCAAACAAACAATAACAACAACAAAACAAACCATTTATTGGCTTTCCCTGCTACTTGGAACAAATTACCACAAGTACAGCCACTCATCTACTTTGGCATCCCTCAAAATATCCATGTGAACAGGAAAACAAAAACGGACAGAGGAACTCAAGTAAATCAAGAGGTGCCTGTGGCCCATGAGGAAGGGATGGCTGGCTGATGGCTGCTACTGAGATGGCTTAATAGATGCCAGCTGACCATGCCCAGACCTTGGGCACCCATCTGATTATGGGCATTGATTCAGACAGAGGACTCCTAGATACTTGTCATAGCTAATCTAACAGAAAGGCACAGAACATTTTTAACCCAACAGCACATAATTGTAATGAAATGATTCCGGCCAAGAGGGCCCATTTGTAATAATGAATTCAAATCAGATTCATAGAAGCTATAATTCAACCATAGAGAATAGCACCTTCATTTTCCATATCATCTCTCTTCCAAAAAGGCAAAATAACTCAATATTAAAATAATTATTTTTACTTTTCAAGCAGCCCTATGAAGTAGTTACAGGGATGATAATATCATCTCACTTATATGAAATGAGTTTTCATCTATACTGAAAACTTCAGGGTCTTGCTTTGGCACATCACTTCCGAAGGTCCCTCAGTACAATCAAAAGCCTGTCACAACAAAACTGATCTCCCACAGGAAGCACCTGTCTTCTGTGACTGGGAAACTTCTCATAGGAAAATCTGAGGGTCTATCTAGGCTTCTGGATTTCTTTACTTTACTTACTGGTCTCTGCTTCTTGTCTGACTTTGTTCAAGAATTAAGAATAGACTGGAAGACATGTGAACTGGGGCAGTCACCCTGGAGAGGATTTTCTAATGCTGATAGGTGTGGGTATCATTTATTTCATTGATACACTCTGAACACCAATTCCCAAGTTATAAATCACCAATGAACACTTTTTAAGGAGACTTAAAAGCTACTTTACATGCAGCTATAAGGCTGTGGAGAGAGCTGAGTGGCAACACTTTTTCCTAGCATGCATAGTGTTATAAAAAATAAACAGAATGTTATAATTTTTAGAAAGTAAAAATACTACCAAACATCACATGGTAGATTTTCCCGAGGCCAAGGCTGATGACTCTCATTTACTGGAGACCTGGCCTCTCTGTGAAACAACTGAGTACCATGCTCTTCTGATAAGGGAACTCAGCTGCCAGTTCATAGAGCAGACTGGAAGGAAAGGAAAAGGAGAGGGGTTGAGAGCCACACAAATCTGCACAGGACACTCGAGCTATTTTAAGAAATGCTGAGAGAGTAGCAAAGAAATCAAGCTATTTTAACATAGAGAATGTTAAGAATTAATGATGAAGGGGAGAAATGAAAAGAGTAATAGGGAGGTACCCCATAAAAGCAGAGCAGTGAAAGAGAAGACTGTATGTGGTAAAGAAAAAAAAATGGATACCTAGAGAGCTAGAGAGTAAGATGTGGACGCGGGGATAGGTTTGTCTACACAGGGAACATGTGCAGAAGAGAGAAGAGAGGCAAAATCAACACTGGGAATGTGCTTACTTCTAAAAATCCGCTACAACAATAGTCAGGTAACCAGCAGCAGTCAGAGTTGAACATGTAAGTTGTCGTTTTCCACAAAGCATGAAAAGCAACTATTCAGCTTTTCCTTTTTTATTCCCTTTCCCATTACCAAGCCCAGCTGTTAAACATTAGAATTGAAGATCATGAAAACAGGCCAGCAGCTCATAAAAAACAGTAGATGGAAGCCAGCCCTCTGCTGTTAGAACGCTCTTACTGCATCCCAGAAGGCAAAAGCTAAGTTTCTAAGTTTCGGGTTTAATTTTTAGGGGCAAGGGAAGGACAGCAGATTTTGTAAATGTATTGGTGATATCTCCCTTGTTTATGGAACTCTTTGTCTTCAACAGAGCAAGAAAAAGAAGTGTGTGGCTGTGTTCAAACCCTCTTCCCACTACTACTGTGGATCTATATTTCCTGGGTTCATATACATCGCGGTTATATATTATTGGCACCTTTGAACCACCAATCCCCTGAAAATGTGTATTCCTACAAATCATAACTCAAAGAGGAGACGTGGAAAACCTTTCTTGAAACAACAAAGTAAGGATAATGCACTTTCACGTGGTGCTACAAGCTAAGGGATGCTCACAGGGCCAGAAGCACTTGCCACTCATACTGTCTGTAAGGGACATCTACATTCTCCTTTCTAGGACTGTGCAGGGCCAGAAGATTGGGCTTTGGGATCTTTCATTAGCTGAAAAGAAGGTTCACCTAAGAACCACCCAAGGTAGAAAGAATCCAAATTTAATGTCAGGGTTCACATAAGGAACAGCAATGTCTCAGAGGCTCTTGTTTCCTCCTCAGGAAGAAGCTTGAGTCTGTGCTGGAAGGGCTCCACAAGGAAAAGCACAGGCAACAGGAAGAAGGGAACCCCACCCTCAATCTGTCCTTGCAGAAGCCAGGCATTCTGGCTGCAGAATCTGGGTCAGGATGTTTTATTTTCACCATAACCATCAAAGTCACAGGCAGGGCAAATGCATTCACCCTGTGTACACTGTGAGACGTAGTTAAGCTGGGACGTCCCCGAATCTGTCTCCTAGGACCAGAACCGCCTCATTAAAGGGATAAAAGATGATATCTGCTGAGCTGGTGGAAAGTGGTGGCTGCATTTTTATTAAAGTCTCTGCTGCAGCAGGCCCAGTCCCCAAAGGTTCATATTCCAAGCATCTCCACCCCTCTGCCTGGAGCATGGAAGTGATTCTCTGTAACTCATTAAGCTAAAAACAAAAAGCTTCCCTATTGTGCTTCTCACACAGGAATGATGTCGCTGCATAAATGCTACATGTTTCCTCTTCTTGGCCCTAGCACACAAAAATACAAAGGCCTCATAATTTACATCAGGGCCCAAGTGCACAGCACAGGTTTAGTTTGAGTGGCTACGTCTTCAGCAGACTCATAAAAGGTCGTGGCCTGGCACAGGAAATCTAAAGCCTTTAATTGTGAGATTACGCACCCCCCCACACACACACCCCACCTACCCACACACAACACACTTCTGCCAAAGATAGTTAGCTGACTATCCTGATGGCCATCCTATGCCATCACATCCTCCTTGTCTGGAAGAAAACTCCAAGGGTATTTAGATAACCACACAGTGTTTACATGCCAGTGCCCACAAGTCTCATCCAGTTGTCCACATAGTTATGAATCTTGCCATGCCATGGCCCCATGAATACATGGAGTTCCAAGTGTAGACTTCAACATTCCCTGTAAGACTGAAGACCACAAGAAGACCAAATGACAAAGCCATCCAAGAAACATGGTATCAACGAGCACACGACGCAAGTGGCCACTTCTTGGGCCTGCAAAAGGCCTCTCACGTGGTCCAGTGCCCCTCTTTCAAGCTGTCTTTTCTCTCTTCCTCGCCCCCCTCCCCTTGAAGCCATGTGCAATGGGTTCAGTCCCCAGATGAAGGAAGGCTCCCTACCTGAGGGTGGCGCTCTCCCCCTGCCGGACCGTCACGTTGTCCATAGCTTTGGGAAAGGTGGCATCTCCGCTGCGCACCGGCACTCCTGTGGGTACAAGGAACAGCAGCCTGAGAGACACGACCACGAGGCACTTCCAGGGCAGGAACAGGTACCCACAGACCCCCATCCTTGTCAGTCACAACTTCCCAGAACTCCCGCAGCAGCACGGTCCTTGTCCCCTGCCCTCTCAGAACAGCCGGAAGTGTTGTGGAGCAAAAGCAAAAGAGAGGGGGAGAGAGCAAGCCAGGAGCTGGGAGCGGGAGAAGGAGAGGCTGAGTCCAGGCTCTCCGGAGCCTAATAATTCTTCCTCGGCTCCAGCCTCAGCTTTCCAGCCTAGCAGAACCAGATGCCCCCTCCTGCATCCAAAAATGAGCTTTCTCGACGCTCCCTGGGGCGGAGGGAGCCCGCGGGGAGGGAGAACACGAAAGAAGGAGCAGGGACGAAGGTCACAGATTGTGCGTTCTCTGCCTCTCTCGGTGAAGCTACTTTAAGATTCAGTTGGGCGCGTTCTGCAGAGGTCTGGCATCAAAAGTTTATAACCCAAAGAAGGCAAGTGTCTCTGACAGAAAGGAGATGTCATAAAAAGCTCCTGCTTCAAGGAGAGGAGAAAATGTTTTTATTAGATCACACACATGTACGGATAGAGTTAGAAAACAGCTCCAAGTCTCGCATCTGGACCCCAAGGCGATAAAAAGTTGCACACGGAGACCCGCAGCCGGCTAGCCCGGATCCTCCGCTCTCAGGCTGTCCTCCCCGAAGCCGGGTGGGCGAGTCCCGCCAGCCCGGCTCTAGCCAGCCCGCGGAGCGCCGCGGCAGAGGCTCTGGGCGCGGGGAGCTGAGCGGACTGCGGCCCCCGCCTCCTCCGGGGACGCTGCACGGGACGCGGGGACGCGCGGACGCCACGCTCAGCGGCCGCCCCCGGCCTCCGCGCCGCCTTCCTCCGGGGAGCAGCCCCTACGCGCGCGGGCCCTGGTCGCCAGGGTTGTCATGGCAGCAGCTGCATCCCTGACCGCCACTTTCTCCGGGTGTCGACTCGGAACCAGCCGGCTAGCAAGCAGCACTGGCTGCGCGCTCATCCCGGCGGGTGCGGGGCGCTGGCGCCCACCTTAACCCCCGCCGCGCCGGGACTGACGCTCCCACGGAGGCAGGGATCCCTGAGGGAATGTGCCAGACGCCTCAAGGGGCTCCACTCTCTCCTTATGCGGAGAGCAAGCTGAGGAAATGCTGAGTCCCTCTCGCTGCCTCCCCTGATATGGGTGGGGAGGTAGAGGGGAGGGCTGGAGAAGGAGTTCTGGGGAAGGCAGCAAATTGAAAACTGACACTAGCACCTTCGTTCCGCGATGCCATGCAGAAGTTGTCAGACCCCGCCCTGGAGAACTGAACTGCCTTCGCCACTCCAGGAAGCTGAGCCAATCTGAATGCCCACCACTCTGCATCTCTTCATCCAAGCTGTAGTCTTAAGGCACAGCTTTCCTGAGCCTATGCAAAAAGCTGGAATAAGCTTCCTGCTCTGATGGCCTACCTAGAAACACTTGACTCCCATCCCTTCCATGTCTGTCTCCCTGGCTGGCAACTCTGAAATTCTTACAAGGCAACATGCAAAATAGTCCCCATTATCCGTGTGTCTTATTGTAGTAAAAAGGAAGAGCTGGGAAAATCACGTGGAGATCCTAAAGAGTAGGACTGATCTTCATAAAATCCATCTATGACTTTATGATCGCAGGAGAGGGCACCATAATAGTGTCAGGAGGGGACTCCGGGATACAGTGTTCTTAGAGGGCAATCTCGCTGTTGCTCTGGGCTCAGATCCATCTCCTTCAGTCTAAACCCAAGAGCGCCAGCTTTCCTTGGGCCTGCCATTATTCTTGCTTCTGCTCTGCCTGGGAGAAGCCTCCCCTCGCTGCGTGGCTCTCACGCCTGTATCCTAATTTAATGGTTGCTATGCGCATCTGCTCTACTGTATTTTTTTCTCGAAGCCTTTTGTTAAATTAGGCAGGGCTCCGCACAATTGGTGAAATGAAATGTAATTCAAAAATAAGCATTAAGCTCTTCGTGTTTATTACTTTAGTTGCTGAAGGATACAAAGGCATCCTACCTGCTCTCATTTCCAAGGGACTGAGCAAAAATGAATACTGCCCCAGTCTCACTTGTAAAAATGCTTACTTAGCTCATGTACGTTTTTTGGCCTTAAAATTTTAATTAGAACATCTTACCTTGGACGGAGGACTTATCATTAGTTTTTATCAGCTATAATGAAAACCATATCAGAAGAGCTTTTACACAGACAGGAGCAGGAGGCAAGGCTCCTCCATGAGGTCATGGGCTGTAAGACTGAGAGAAGTAATGGTGCAACCAGGGGTTAGGTGATTCTGGGAGCACTACCAATATTTGGGGATCACCACTTCTCTCCCAGGCCCCACTCTCCCCTATGCCCAAGAAAGCTGAGGAAATGCCCACCAGTTTTAATGACATTTCTCTTCCAGATAACAAATCTGAGTTTTCTGTACACACATAATCCCTCTGGCCCCTGTGATGCTTGCATCCAGGATGAACAGCTGGAAAGGCTCTCTTACCAGTGGTACCCTAGATAGGGCTGACACTGAGGTCCTGTGCTTAGGACTCCTTCAGTCCCAGCTTTCGTCTTGAATGTGGGTGAAGATACAGTGGAGCCTGAGCAGGAGGCAGCTCTGAGGTCATCCCAGTGCTCAGTGGTGGAGTGCTCAGATAGTCTCAAACACCTACTGGTCTGGTGTCCCATCAGAAAGTGAGAGCAGGACCATAGTTACACTAACCACAAAAGGTGGCTTGAGACAGGAAGAGTTATTGGAGACTCTGAGAATGGAGAAAAGTGCACAAGATTCCAGATGGAAAAGGGATCAGTGAGACCAGTAAAGAGCAAAAGCAGAGATAAGCTGAAGTGAGGAGAAACATCCCCAGTAACACACACTGAGTCTTTTGCTTGCGAAGGAACAATCCAAGAAAGCTACTGTTTACCAGGCTAGCTTTCTCCTAGTAATGGCATCTGAGGACCCAAAGAACAAGGGAGGGGATCTATCCTGTCTTGTTACAATGGTTCCTGGTTTAGTCTCGATGACAGACTATGGGATCTGAATTCACAGACTTGTGAGTCAGAGAAGGAACTGCAAAAGTCTGGTCTATGTGTTACTCTCAGTCTGTCAGTCTACAGTGTTGGGGGTGGGGGCAGTGGTTCATTTATTTGTAAGGCACCGCTATGGAGTAGCACAGTTAGGGATAAAACGTAAGCTTACATGGGAAGAAGAAACAGAGTGGAGGTTTACAATGAACGTGAGTAAGTAATTTTTGCCAGGAATATTTTGTGGAAAGTTATGGCCATTGACAATGACAGGATAGGCCCTTTATTACACCTTCTTGGATATATGAATTTATATGTAAAGACAAATTATCATTATGATTGGAAGACTGGCTTTGAAGTTGTGTTTTCAGTTCAAATACTGAGTCCTCACGTCTCCATCTGTGTAACTCATACCAAATAATACCTATTTCATCCAAAGGGTAGTGAGCAAGAATGTGTTTGTGTGTGTGTAATGAGAAGGGAGAAAGTCCCCAGTGTACTGACCCTTAAAAGAAGAGTCTATTATTTATAGTCCCCAAGAGAAGGGCCACAACACCCCAGTATCATATGTAGGGTTGGTCTGCAGATAGAGAAAGTAAGAAGAAAGTTTGGCAATAGGCTTTATTATGGTTTCCATGGGAGGGGCTGGGCAAGGAAGTATGGAGAAACTAGCATGCTTACGAGTGGATAACATTTTGGCAGGCTATGTGAGTGATCTTAAGTGATCCTGAGCTTGGTCCTGGTTTAGGGTAAGAAATGGTGCCATGTTCTATGAGGATGAGACAAAGAAAGTGGTTCTTCCATCCAGGAATAAGACAGTACTAAGAGAGCCAGTGTCTCTAGGAATAACAAGGTTTGATCTTATACATGTCTGGAGGAGCTTTTGATTAACCCTGGATGAAGTTAATGCTTGGCAGGCTGGGAGACATCATCAACATACTTTATGGTTCTATAGCATGACGCTTATTTTCATGTAATAACTGTGACATGGAGAAAGGTATAAGGGAAATGACATAAAGCTCCCTGTCCAAAGGAGAGCTTCAACTCACCTACACAAGTTTTGTTACCTATGACAATTGGTAGCAGAAACACAAAAGATAGATCCCGATTTCAGGGACTGTAGTCAGCATTAGGCAAGGAGATCACTGGCTACCTGGAGAGAAATGGTTCTGGACAGATAGAGAAAAGGAATCCTGGCAGAGGAGATTGAGAGAAAGGAGAAAAAGAGAAGCAGAGGGAAAGAAAGGCTGTGAAGAGTCCTGGTAGCTTCCAGATGAGAACTCCCGTGACAGGTGGCAACTTGAACCAGCAGGTGGTATCTTCAGCCTGCAGATTGAATGGTCCAGAGAAGCTGAGAAAGAGCAAGAATCGTCATGGCAAGAAAAGCTTGTCACAGACTAATGATGTTGGTTAAACTGGATGAAATGGCTGGTGAGGTGACATACCCATTGTTTTCCTCCCTAGGTGTAAACTGTGCTTGGTGATAGATGATCAGCTATGTCTTGGGAAAAGCAACCCAGTGGAAGTGTGCCCTTGACTCATTCCACAGAAAAGACAACCAGTCAATGAAAATGTTGAGTGAAGACTGTCGGGCAACTTCTGCTCAGATCCTAAACAAGTCTTGACTGTTGATACTTAAGGGCAACAATGCCCTGCTTCAGCTGCTGATCCTGTGTGCATGCATGTAGGCATGCATGGCTGTGTGTGTGTGTGTGTGTGTGTGTGTGTGTGTGTGTGTGTGTGTGTGTGTGTGTGTGTGTATTTATAAGTGGTATTACAGGCTGTGCAAACTGCCTCTTGTCCTTGATGAATCACACAGCAGGAGATAACCAAGGCAAATGAAAAACAAACTAATTTTAAAAATGACAAAAACCCTTAACTCTGGAGGAAGTATATAGGTTATAATTCGGTAGGCAGGGTATGTGTCTAGCACACAGGAATCCCTGGGTTTGGTCCCAGCCTCACATGTTCTGGGCATGGTGACACATACCTGTGATCCCAGCATGAGGAAAGAGGAAGAAAGAAAATTAGGAATTCAAGTTCATTCTCTGCTGCATAGTGAGTCTGAGACCAGCCTGAGCTGCATGAGACCATGCCTCAATTTTTTTTCCTTTAAAAAACCCTCCAGCACTATTTTCAATTTGCTCACACGTTAAGTCATTTACTAATTCTGTAAATATGATTACATGTCTATTTTATGGTGGACAGTATTTAAGGGTCTGGAGAGGCAGTAGTCCATGAATAGCATAAATATTTTTATGTACTTTTCTGCAAGGGTGTGAATAAGTATTGAGGTGGGAAAAAAGATTATGAAAAATAAGTAAACAGACATATTTAGATTGGGCAATGTGCTATAAAAAAATGTTATTGGAGTTGATGGGATGGAAAGGATGATAAGTTAGGTAGTTAGGGAAAGCATCTTTGAAGAGGTAACATCTGAAGTGAGATTTGATTGGCTATTGGATCCAGCCAAGTAGGGCCAGGAAAATGGCTGCTGTGAAGGTGAATGGCAGAGGAGCTTAAGGTGAAGGTGGAAGGCAAGAGGGCACTGGGTCTCAGAAACCCGGGCCATTGTATAAAGATTTAATTCTAAGTGCAGGGCAATGACTTCATAGACTTTCAGCAGGCAAGTACCAGGATCTGTGAGATAAAATTTTGTAAATCTTTCTGACCATGATGTGGAGAATGGATTGCAGAAGAACCCAGAGAGTGTTAGACACAGAAGAGCAATCATGGTGGGCGCCATGGGGTGGGAGGCAAATGGAAAGAAAGTGGCATCTGAATAGCTAAGGTTTGCTCAAAAGTGGGATTTGGGGGTGGAGTAAAGGGAAAGAATTGAGGGTGGTTTTGATAGTTCAGAAGTAGCGCTTTCTGCAATAAGGATGGAGAAGGAATGTGGCAGAGGCAGTGGGTTTGAGAAGACTACAGCCAAGTGCAGATGTCAGGACGGCACGAGTGGGGAGGAGCCTGGAGCAGCAGTGGAGACCTGAAAACTGTTTCCTCATCCTCAATCTGCTTTCTCATTTGCTCTTTTAAAGAGGTGTTAAAATTCTCCTCGATGGATGTGTCATAGAGACAAAATACCACAGCATCCTTACTGGACCTAGAGGCCTCCATACCTTAGCCTGTACTTTAAAAACAGGCAACTTCATTGCACCCTATCTGACCTAAGACAGCTCCTCAACTGTAGGCATCTCAGTGTTTCATGGCTGCTTGATTACACCCCATCTCCATTGAGCAGTCTGGCATGATGCCATCGCTATTTGTTAAGAACATGGAGTGCTGCTCACTTATAACATGTGGAAGGACTCCAGTTCAGGACCTCAAGCTCTACTGTAACTTCCTTGCTGTCATCTAGAGCAAGGAAAAGCCACTATTTTCTTGTGCCTGGGAGATAAAAGGGTCTAGGGTACGGAGTCAGAGGCTCCACAGCCAACCATCTGTGTGCAACATTGCTTCTGTTGCCTAGCTTCACTAGCCTCCAGCTTGCATCTCTATAAATGGAGGCAAGATACCAATACATTTGTACAGTGTTTGTGAGGGTCTATCCTAGTCATCTCAGGCTGTCAAAGCAAATCTACAGACTGGTGGCTTAAACAAGAGAAGCTTCCTTCTTATAATTTTTGCAGCCCAGAAGCCTGGGAGCTCCAGGGAAGGCTCTCCTCCTGACTTCTGACAGCTACCTGCTGGCTGTGTGCATATCCATGGCACACAGACAGTGCTCTCTGTTCCAAAGCCACCAGTTCCATAGGATCAGGATCACTCACATATGTAACCTTTATCCCTTTTAAAAGCCCCATCTCCAAATGCTGTCACATTGTTGGTTCGGAGTTCCACATATGAATTTGGGGCACTCAATGCAATCTATAACAGTGTTAAATGATACACTGCATGGAATGACCATCCTTCCAGACACTCACTAAACACTCCATCATACTAGTCATTTAACAAAGAAAGAGCACTATTCTCTGACATCACAGGTTTCTTCTCTGAAGCACCTCTGTGGACAAATAAACTGTAAAAATCAAGGCCAAAACATTTCCAAGATACTTGTGTGTGTGTGTGTGTGTGTGTGTGTGTGTGTGTGTGTGTGTGTGTATGTGTGTGTATGTGTATGTGTGTGTATGCGTATGTGTCTGTGTGTGTATGTTTCTGTGTGTGTCTCTATGTATCTGTATGTATGTGTCTGTGTCTGTGTGTCTCTGCATGTATGTGTGAGTGTCTGTGTGTCTCTGTGTGTATGTGTGAGTGTCTGTGTCTGTGTGTCTCTGTGTGTATGTGTGTGTGTCTGTGTATGTGTGTCTATGTATGTGTGTCTATGTATATGTGTCTCTTTGTGTGTGTATGCGTCTCTCTGTGTGTATGTGTCTATGTATGTGTCTGTGTATATGTATATTTGTTGTGTGTGTGTGTATCTGTCAGTGTGTGTGTGTGTGTATTGTGGAGAGCAGGACAGATTGAACTCTCTTCCTCTCTCTCTCTTTCTCATTTTAAAGACTAGCTTGTTTTAGAAATAGAAATCCCCTATTCTGGATGAAAAACTTACATGATAATTCCTAAGCCTTTATCTTACCTCAAAGAGATTGTCTAGTTGTGGATCGCTGTTGGGAAATTCACAGCCCCACACAGATAGCCAAACTGATCCATAATAAAATTTGTATCCAGCCATTAAAGCAATTTCAAACTGTGTGTTATTCAGAAATGAGGAAAACTTACAGCTTGTGTTTATCTGAGGAGTGTTGTGCCCAGCTGCTCTGTATGCATGTGGAAAAACATGAAATATGGAGCCTATAATTTGAGGTATATTTGTATCATAGAAACCCATCTCCATAAGGTAGAACCAGAGAATAGAGTAACTGAAGAAGTATCACAGTGTAAGCTGCTAGGGGCCAAGGACACAGGTAGGAATGTGTTGCTAGTGAGCAGAATGGTAAGATGACTGGGCTGGGCAGGGGGATGGCTCAGTTGGTAAAGTACCCACAGCACAAGCAGGAAGATTGGATTGCAGCTCCCATGTGAAAATCCAGGTGCAGAGGTGCATGCCTCTGATCCAAGGGCTGGGGATGCAGAGGCATGAGGATCCTGGGGACTTAGCAGCTAACTCTTCTATCTTGTCACTGAACTGTGGGTTCAATGAAAGACCCTATCTCAAACCTAGAGTAAAGGAGCAACTGAGATCACCAGGATTTGGCCTTTGTCCTCCACAGAGAAATGCACACACATGCACACATGCACACACACGTGATTAAAAAAGAATGATTGAGGTTCATTTGGTGGCTACAAAGTCATAAGAAATGCAATTGCATGTGAAATCATACTGTGGTAAACTTACTGGTGTTAAGTTCTGTGTCCCCGGGGTCCCAAAGTAATCCTTCTAAAAGAGTTGCCCACCCTGGTTGAAAACACCATTTCTCATTCTCATTGGGCACTTCCCAAGTTAGACAAATGTATATTAAATGATTTTCCTTATCACCACTAACCTACAAATTCAGATGTGTTTAATCCTATCTTGTTTCTCTTTTCCCTCCTAGGCCTCAATACATTCTTCTTCAAGCTAGCACACATCTATCTACACCAAGGAAAAGCCACATTAGTCAGGGAAGAAAATGCCTGACTTTAATCCTAGTGCTGCTACTTAAGAGCTGAGATCTGAGGTCAGTCATTTATCTAGGTGTTTGTGTTTGCTCATCTACAGGCAGTGTTAGGAAGAGAGCCTTTGTAGCTAGGCGTGGTGGTGCCCATCTGCAATCCCAGCCACTCAGCCACTCAGGAGGCTGAGAAGGTAGCATCACCTGAACCTAAGAGTTTGAGAATGGTCTAGCAAACATAGCAATGCCTTATCTCTAGATAAACAATAAATAAGTAAGTAAGTAAGTAAGTAAGTAAGTAAATAAATAAATAAATAAATAAATAAACTTTGAAGGTTTTGGTCTAAGTGTGATAACATACAGAGCTGATCCCAAGCTGGGGGAAGGGTGGTGGGGGGGGGTCAGCATAATGGCAGCTACCAGTGATGGGTTCAATTGATTTTTCTTCTCTATCTTTAATATCAAAGTGATGAAATTAGCAAAACACAAAAATAATCAGTGGGCAAATAAAAACAAAAACAATGATTTAAAATAAACTTAAAATCAGCAAATTAGCGGAAAAACAAGGCACACAAAATTGCATGTGGAGAGGAATCCACTAGTTTCCCAAGAATTAGAGTCAACTGAGAGCTGTAGAATATATATGGTGCTATGACATCAGTCCTGTATCCTTTCTTTTGTTCCAAGTCTCCATGTGTATTTCACAAGTAGCTGTCTCCCATTAGAACTGTAGGGTCCCTGAGAGCAAAGTGTTTGCTCATCTTGATTCCTTTCCTACAGGCAAGATCCTGGCACAGAGTAAGAGCTCAGCAAATATTTGCTGCCAGAGAGAGCTGATGTCTGCTCTCCAGTCTCTAGAAAGTCAGTGTATTAGACAGTTTTCTCCAGAGTGGCTGAGTTAATTATATGGACAGACAGGTAAGCAGATAGGTAGTTAAATGATAGATAGATAGATTGATAGATAGATAGATAGATAGATAGATAG